TTCAGCTTCCCAAAGTGCTGGGATTACAGGCATGAGCCACTGCACCCAGCCAGTAGCTGCTATGTCTTGCTCCATATTTCCTCCTCACTTCAGCTCTGTCTCTATTCCACTGGCTCCCTTCTGCTCCCACTGCTCAAAGCTTTGAGAGTGACCAACTTGGAACTTGCAGCTTAGTCAAATCTGAGACAGTCAAGTTACCCAAATAAGGATAGAGCATGAACCTACTTAAAATAACAGCATGAAGAGTTCTTTTGCTTCTCTTCCTCTTTCAAATTATAGCAATTGACCACTTAGTTACATTGGTTAATGCCCAAGACAAAAATACAGCCCCTCTCTTCTCCATCTGGCCTGCATATGTGTTCATTTTGCAGTTAACAGAACTGAAAGGACTTCTTTCTGTTTTATTTTCTTGTAATCCCAGAATTTAAATATCTACTGTTTTGTTCATGGGCTCACAAAGAGGGTGAAAATCATTGCTATTTTATTTCAAATAAAATAAAAGATTACAGTCTTCCAATTAGAATAGAACTTGAAACATAGCAGGAATTTAAAAGCCATGTGCTGATTCATGGGAAAAGGTTAAGACACAGATGGGTTACACAATTTACTCTAGGTCATACCACTGATGCAATGACTTTATTATCAGAACTATAATGAACAGCATAGATATTTACATGATTAATATTTTGTTGACAGTAGTGGGGCCAGAATTAGAATATGGATTTTCTACTGCCCCAGTCCCTGTATGCTAACTCTGTTAAATTGTGTTCCCACATATTGGAAATGCAGGATTGTTGCTAGATGTTCAGGTGCTGTTGTATTGTAGGCATGGATGCAAATCCCAGCTCTGCCACCTGTTAGCTCCTCGAGCTTGGACCAGACCCTTAACATCTCTTAGTTTCGTTTCTGCATCTAGAAAAGGGGGTCTGTACCTTCCTTACAAGGAAGGATAAGGGTTCAATGAGATAGTGTATGTTGTTGGGGAGGAAAATTTTTTCCTCTACTCTCTTTAAGTTATTTTCCTGGGGGCATGCAAATTAAACTAACAAAAAAGAAGGCATACAATTTTTATTTATATTTATATGCACAGGAGTTCACAAAAAAGGAGTGAAACTCGAAGAAGTGGTTTGACTATGGTGATGGGTTATTCTACCCTTACTGGCACAGGGGAAACACCTTCACGAAGGCAAATTTATGCCCTGCTTTTAGGCAGATAAGGGGAGAAGAAAGAAGTCTTTCTGCATCTGTTGATTCTCAATTGCTTTCAGCTGAAAATAATCCTTATGCTAAAGTAGCATATTTTGGGTTGGCATATTCTGATCCCCTTCAATGTAATGTGCCTCAGCACCAGGTCTGATTAAACTGAGTGCTAAATAGCCACCTATCATTAGAGGAGTCTATGTCCCCACCTTGTAGTAATAAAGCTCAGGCACAACAGGATGTCACAGGAAGAGAATGAGGCATGTTTTTCTTTTCTCCAGTTTTTCTGCCTAGGCTTTCCTATAAGTAAGATTATCTACATTTAAAACATACTTGATCCACCTTAAATGCCCAGTCAAATCTGTCCTTTCCTCTGCAACACTCTGCCTTGATTCTGGTTCAGGTTTACCTGGCATAGAGTACCCTCTGTTCAGCTCCTTTCTACCCTCCTAGATCCCACACCAGAGAAAATGCAGAGTGTTTTATGGGCTCCCTATCGCCTTCAGCGTAAAGTTCAAGTGCAAAGCCCAGCAACATCTATTCTGTACCTCTTTTTCGTCTGAATCTCTTCACTTCTTTTCCCCAACCCCAAACTAATGGCTACCACTGACTCAAGGGAGTCTTCTTCTCTCTTCATGCCTTTGAATGGGGGGTGTGGCTGCATGAAACTTCTCTCTCCCCATTACCCACTCAAGAGTCACTTGCTCTTGGTAATATTTCTCAGTTGCCCTGCTTCACCCCTTTTCTCCCATCCTGGTCAATTCAGATGCCCTTCTGAGTCTCAGCTTCTCTACAGAATTTTAACTGTACATTTTCTTTGTCTCTGCTTTTAAGTCATGAACTCTTTGAAGAAAGGACCACATTTAGTTTGTTTCAGAATCCCAGTGCCCAGCACAGACCTGGCATAGAGTATGCACTCCTTAAATACTTACTGAATGTATTATGCCATTTAGTCTGTCTGTGGTGGCACTGAAAACCCACAAGAATTTAAGAGCCTCTTCTCTGCCTGAAGTTCAGGTCTTCAGTAAAGAAAATGTGATGGAAAGAGGAGGTGACTGATAATGATCCTGCAAAAATATGTAGGTAAAAAGAATGGCTGTAAATTAATAATGAAATACCCTTCCTAAGTTTCCTTGTAGAAAATATATGTTAATTTCCCAAATGTATGAGCATCTGTGTATTTTTGTGGGGAATATACAGTGTCTTTTCTAACACTGAGATGCTTGAAATGGGGTTATTTCCCTTCCAAATGAAAACCAATTAAATAAATTATATTTTTCTGTGGTGCTTACAAAGTGTGGGAGTTGTCACCAAACATTACTAAATGTTCTAATTTAGTCATAAATGGGCTGAAAGATGTAGCATAATTATAAGTCCAAAGTAAGTTGTTCTAAATATTTTATCATGTTCAGCATATGCTGTTAAAAAAAACCTCAGACTATAATTGTCAACATTCAATTCACAAAAAGTAAACAACAGCTGAGTATAACGGGATGATAAAGAACCTTTCCATAATTCCTGACATATGGCAAAGAGTATGTCCATTTTGAAGTGGAAGATGGTCATGTTTATCAACTGAGTCATTTTCTTTGTTTGAATCCTTCTAATCAGAAAAGTTCCCTAGAAACGCTAGGAACATTTTCCTGAAGTAGATGAGGAAAATGAAAAAATGCTGTATGGCACAGTTAAATCTCAGACAGGAGGAACTTAGAACTCACGATGGCAATTGAAAGAGGCCAGGTAAAGAAGTCTGTATATTTCTTTAAGAGCAGTCATTCCAGGGCTATTACAAATGAAAAAACAAGTGTGTGCTTAGTGGGAAATGTATGAACAAATTTCTACATATCAGTCTGTTTCTGTGAACAAGCTCTGATGGACACAGCCGTGTCACATCCTGCCATCATACAGATTCATTTTAAATGCACAGACACTTAATCTTTTCTAGGGAAAGCCAGTGGGAAGCTGCTTGAAATTCCTTTTTCTTTATCAGATGTTTTGCACATGGGGGTTTTCAGCTCAAAGGAGATACTTATAAACCATTTATCTTCAGAGTGAAGGAGTAGAAGGGGGAGAGGTGTCCAGGCACTGTTCTAACCAGATGCTTCAAAGATACTTCAAAGCTGCCCAGAAGAAAAAGCCAAAGGCAATCACCAAAGAACAGGCTCTGCTCTTTGACTGAGAGAGATAAGGAGCAGATACCCAGCACTGAGACAAAGGGTTTTGTGAAGAAAATGCTGAGTAACAAGATTGTCCTTTTGTTTTTCTTCATGAATAATAATATTCTACCCTAAATCCTTTTTGGGAATGAACAGGGGGTGTTGAGAGCTGGTATTGAATAAATACATTAGCAAATCACTGAACTAATTAATTAGTAACCACCCCTAGGCAGAGAGAAAGAAACAAGAGTGCTCACTGAGAACTCTCTGAGGAGGAAAGGACTTCTATATGGTATGACGTAGTGAAAAATCTAGCAATTTGGAGATAGGACTGCTTTCTGAGCTTCAGTTTCCTGGGAATGTTGTGAATATGTTTTGCAACTCAGTGTTATCAAATGTATATCATTCTGTCTGTCTTCTTGATGAGCTTTTTAAAATAGCATTAGAATTAATCAGATTAATCTCACTGAACAAAAATAAAGACTGCCTTTTCACAGAGCTCTACATCATGCCAGCTGTGTATCTTTCTGTGCACAGTGATTCTATATAGAGACTCTCTGTTAAGCTCGAAAGGAGCTCCAAGGAGAAGTCCCATAGAGACAGCACAATCAACAGGCACACATGCTGCTGTTATTCAAGGCTACTCAAAGGAACATAAAATAATTCTGAGAAAAAAAAAGAGACTTCAGTGAAAAACTCAAGGTTCAATGTATGACTTCCTGGTGGAAAAGCTGGCATCACTGTTGCTTGAGACACAGCAAAAGAAGAGTGAGGATTCTGGAAGGAAAACATCGCTAATAATGAGCGGAGAGCCTCGGTGGCTGAAGTGTTTGATTGACATTCCTGTCTGTTGAAAGCCATGACAGGCTCAGGCTGTCCTGGAAGAGTTGAGAAAAGTGGGGAAGAGAGTGTAAGACTGATGTGCTCTTTGGAATCACTTTAGGCAGGCCAGAGTCACAGGAAGCATGACAAACCTGAGGATTTGGCAAAGGATTGCCAAAGGAAACAGAACAGACCTTTCCTCGAAGAAAAGAAAAAACCAATAGCAGCTAAAGTAGAAGCAAAATGCCTCAGTATGCCAGCAGGTAGACATTCTGACCTCTCTTCTTGTGAAACACTCAATAATGTCTTAAATGTTTGCTGATAATGGAAGAAAATTGTGTCTTAAAATGACATGAAGTTGGAGACAGTAGTATGTTTGGGTCCCCATCCCAAGTCCTTAAATCATGAGAAATAACTGGATTTCCTTATAATGTACATTGTGATGCTGCCTGATTTGTGGTGTGTATCCTAAAAGATGATTCTAGTCATTCTCTTTCTTGAACAATTTTTGGTAGTTTTGATTCTTTCCCTTTATGATGTTCCTTTTCATCCATTATACTCTCTAATGGTACTTACCTAACAATTAAGTGTTGAGTTAGGAGACGGTAATTAGATTCCAAGTCCTATTTTCCTGGTTCAACTTGACCTTTTTCTTGATGAGATATGTTCTTCCCTTAGGTATTGGCGTTTCAGTGCCACCTAGGCAAGCTATTTTGGATTTCTCCTTGCTGCAGAACTTCTCATATGAAAATGAAAAGTAAGTTTCAATGTGAAAAGTAAGTTTCAATGTGAAAAGTAATTCTGTCATTTTTTTTTTCTTAGATGGAGTTTCGCTCTTGTTGCCCAGGCTGGAGTGCAATGGCATGATCTTGGCTCACTGCAACCTTAGTCTCCCGGGTTCAAGCAATTCTCCTGCCTTCGCCTCCCAAGTAGCTGAGATTACAAGTATGTGCCACCATATCCAGCTAATTTTGTGTTTTTAGTAGAGACAGGGTTTCTGCCCACCTTGGCCTCCCAAAGTGCTGGGATTATAGGCGTGAGCCACTGCGCCTGGCTATGCTGACTTTCCTAACATAAATCTGGGAGAAACATTTGTGTGTGATAGAAATGAAACCAGCCCAATTTTCCAATAGAACTGATGTTTTCGGTCTTTTTAAATACACATAGAAATTGACCCTCCTGGTCTTAAAGCTTGAAACTTACATTTGTTTTATATGAGTTCCTTTCTTGGGAAACCATCATCAGGCTTCTCAGATACTATCAAGGAACTGAAATTCACCAGCTCACTGCATCCAGACAATGAGATGCTAGAACCCTCACCCATCATGATTCTCTAACTAACTAAGCAGGCTGTTATAAATCCCCAATTTTAGTGAGTTGAAGAGATGGATTTAAGACTTATTTCTCATCTCCCTGGCTCACATCACTGAAATAAAACCTTTCTTCCCTGGCAATACTCATTGTATCAGTGATTGGTTTTCAGTGCAGCAAGGGACATAGACCATACTCCTAATGTTTTGGTGGCAGAGTTAATTACTAATCAACCTTTCTCATTGATCTTGTTCTTTTTTTTTTGAGATGGAGTTTCACTCTGTTGCCTAGTGTGATCTCAGCTCACTGTAACTTCTGTTCCTGGGTTAAAGTAATTCTCCTGCCTCAGCCTCCCTGAGTAGCTAGGATTACAGGTGCCCACCACCATGCCTGGCTAATTTTTGTATTTTTAGTGGGGATGGGGTTTCACCATATTGGTCAGTCTGGTCTCAAACACCTGAGCTCAAGTGATCCATCCACCTCAATTTCCCAAAGTGCTGGGATTACAGGCATGATACGGAGTTCTTGATGGTGCGGTTTATATTTTTCCAAGGTAGATCTTTAAATTGGCAGCATAATTACACTTACTCTTGTCTTTTAGGCCTAAAAAATAATTGTCAGTGCTTGTGGAATGTCAATATTTCTGTGTTGCTTAATTAGATCATAGAGGCTGCTCAGTTTCATGAAGTATGTTTTCTTTTTGTTTGTTTTGTTTTGAGAGAAGGAGATTAGCAGGGCACAGAAAGCCAATTCTCTGAGATTACTGGAAAATAAAGCATTTACATAAATAGTTCCAGAAATATTTATACAGATTAATTTGTAAAAATTATAGTCGGTAGGCTTGCAGGTAAAAAAGGTCCAAGCAGGGGAAATAGGCAGAATTAGTTTCTCAGGAAGAACATGTGTTTGAATGCCTCTTAAATTTATGATTTTGGGATAATCTAGTACTGACATAATTACAATACTACTATATATTTTCTACATAATAATACTCTGGTTTAGCTCAGCAAGATTTACAGATGTTTGCTAATTACTGAAGCATCTGAAACAGCTATTAAGTCATTCATCTACCAATATTTAATGAGCCCTGTCTAGGAGAGAGACATTAAGGCAATATGCGGGAGACATATATATATATATACACACATATATATACATAATATATTATATATATATATAATATATATATATTTTCGAGACTGAGTCTCATGGTGTCACTCAGGCTAGAGTGCAGTGATGCAATCTTGGCTCACTGCAACCTCCACCTCCCAGTCTCAACCAATCTTCCCACCTCAGCCTCCTGAGTAGCTGGGACTACAGGTGCATGCCATCAAGCCCAGCAAATTTTTATATTTTTAGTAGACACAGGATTTTGTCAGGCTTCCCAGGCTGGTCACAAACTCCTGGGCTCAAGTGACCCCATCAACCTAGGCCTCCCAAAGTGCTGGAATTATAGGCATGAGCCACCACACACAGCCTGCAGAAGTCTTTTAGATGAAATTCTAGTTAGTCCTAGTTAAGATCCAGTTAAGCACTATCTTACAATGTTTACTACATTATTTAAATATACAACACACATTTGCAAATCTTAAATAAGTGAAACCTGAAATAAACTTACTATGGGTCACTGTGTACCTCAATTACATTGTGTGTAATGCTGTGGTCCTCTTATTTTTACATTACCTTCACACAATGGTGACTCAATAAATGTTTGTTGATGGCAGACTGAATGAGTGCAGATATGAAGAAAGTAATCCCCACCACCATCCTGCCCTGAACAATTGATTGCATTATGCGGCTTCTAATTAACTGTTGATAGATATGAAATGAAATGGGACCAAATTCTGACCCAAAGTTTATGTTTACAGCTTTGAACAGATTGACTTTCACTCTTGAAGTGTGTGAACACAAAACAGCAGAACCCAATGAAACAGGAAGCAGAGGATTTTAACTGTAGCTACCGCTACTTCAGGAGGTAGTTTGGGCTTTATTGTTCAAGACCGGAAGTATCCAGAGGGAAGAAGGAAGGGTAGGAATTTGTATTGAGTGTTCAGTCCGTGTCAGGTACCAGGCCAGCTGCTTACATAAACCATTGTTGGGTCACTCTGTGATTCTGAGCTGTAGCGATTTAAACATAAAAAGGATGAGTCTCAGAAGTATTATAGTTAGGTAACTTGCCCAAAGTCTCACAGCTCACGTTTGGCAAGTCCTGGATTGAAACTCAGACTAGTCTGCTTTGAAGGCCACAGCTTTTCCACTCTGCTCAGCTGTTTCCATTCTGTTTTTTATAGTAAGGGGACTGACCATTTGAATTAGGTTCTCTTGGTTTTAAGAAAAAGACTTAGATCACCTCAAGTAATGGAGAATATGCTATGTCCATTCCTGTAGAAAGGAGAAGCCAGTGATCTCAGCCTCATGACAAAGTCTCAGGAAACCCAGGAAAACCAGAATTACCAGCTTTCAGAAAGGGTAGGAATGTTGTCAGAGCCAGATCTCAAAGAGACTGGAATGAGAAAGTTGTTTAGATGCTAAGATAATTCTGGGAGTGCAAGTATGGGATCTTCTGAGTCTTCTGGAAGGCCATTCACCATTAACATGATCCTCTGCTAGTTTGTTTTTTGGGGTATCTCTGGTTCTCTTTCATTATTGATTGGCTTTCCCACCTTTTTCTCACAATCTTTCTCTTAACACCTAGCTGCCCTTTGATTGTACTCCCTCTCTACATTAACTTACTTATGATCCCTCATGGTCCCCACTCTACGTCAAGGTTTCTTTCTTTTGCAATATATCAACAACAACTCTCAATACATACTGCTCCATTTTCTCAGTGTTTTTTAATTCTAATTCCTGAGAATTAGACTGCTGGAACCAGCTTTACTTTGTTTGGAAAGGCTTTTTATGCTGAAATATCTCACAGGCTGCTATTTTACATAAATAGTTCCAGAAGTCTGGGCAGCTCTCAGGTTAGGGATCCAGCCAGGTTTAGTCACCCTAGGAAAGCTGTGAGTGCACCTAGTTCCTTTAGGAGTGGCTAGGGACTGGGAAGGCACAGTAGTGCCTTGGTAGTGATGGATGAGAATAAAAATTGATCTCCTGTCAACATCAGGTAAGCAGCAGAAAGGCAGTGGCACAAGATGGCACTGCACAGAGTGAGAGGAAGATGGCAGGCACTAGGAAAAAAATGCAAAGATTTTTGATCAAGAATTAAGAGTGACTGGGGAAGGAACTACAGACCATGAGTCACCCCTTTGTAAGAATAGACAATTTATTCACCAGAGACCTCTAGGAATGCTTCCTGTCTCTCCTCTGGTTGTTTCATTATAATGTGTGCAATCTTACTGAGAATTGGGATTTTTTTTCTCTTATTTCCAGCCTTCATATAGAATTGAGAATGACATTTATTATGTATTTTTCTCTCTCAATTAACCTTACTTTTAAAGATATTTTAATTATCTAAATAACATACATATATATTCTCACTATGAAAAATTCAAATAGTAGAGATAAGTCAAAGTCTACCTTGACTCTGTTTCCCAAAGCCTACCTCTTCTTCCCCAGAGGGGAGTCTATGTATATACAAGGTTCTATTGTATTTTTTATATAAGTAAACAGCCATATTCAGTACTTTGCAATCTAAAACCATTTCAGCCAAACTAGGTAGGTAAGGATTTTCACATCTCAGAAATACCAGCAACCAATTTCCACCCACAGATACTGATGTCAATAAAGACTAGCCAATTTAAGCAACAGATTCCAGGTAAGTCAAAAGTCAAAGGGATTATTTTGTCAAAGTAAAGTACAAAAAGGCACAAGGATGATAATGGCCACTTATCTCTGAGTAAAGACAGTCTGTGGCTTGACTCCTACCTGGTTTGGTGCTGTGAACTCTACACATTTGCCTGAATTGGCCCAGTGTAGAAGTCCAGTTCCACTGATGAAAATGGGAGTTCTCTCACCACAAACAACTATAAAAAGTCCCATCAGATGAAAATGGGTAAGGGAGGACCTAAGCAGACAAAGGAGAGTTTATTTGACATCCCTCCCTCCCCACAAAAATATTCTTTCCATTCCAGCCTCATCATCTAAAGCTCTTCAGAAAGACTTGAATCAGAAATTCAATTCTACATCAAGTCTTCATCAATTTATAATTTTAAAACTTTATGGATTTGAAATAATTAGGGAAAAATTTCTGATTTTGAAAATTCTCTTTCCTAAAGTACAGTGTAATTACTAATTGTATATGGCAACTTCAATTGCTCTAATTAGGGTTAGTAGATCTTTTCAACGGATTGGCAATCAAGGCATCAATTAGTAGTATTTATATGTGAGCCCATATTTTTAATCTGCTAAAACCTATTTGCTTAATCCAAAACCATTTAAACACTGATTAAATTTGGATTATAAACCATATATGAGGCCAGGATTCTGCTATTCTATGCTAGCATCCTCCTCTGTCCCCCGACATATGCACTGAGAGCATTATCTATATCTCAAATATGTATCTCTCATACCCTTAGTATATCTTATATAATTGCAATAAGTGCATATTGGCTGTTGAAAACATAAACAAAACAAAGCCTTGGAGATGGAGAGGCAAAAAAGACAGGCAAATACTTGCCTATGTCACAGAACTAACACTAGGGTGCTGGTAGAGACAGAGAAATAACACATAAACAGACTGAGTGTGATGGCTTATGCATGTAATCCCAGCACTTTGGGAGAACGAGGTGAGAGGATCACTTGAGGTCAGGAGTTCGAGACCAGCCTGGCCAACAGAGCAAAACTCTGTCTATTCTAAAAATACAAAAATTAGCCGGGCACGGTGGCACACACCTGTAATCTCAGCTACTCAGGAGGCTGAGGCATGAGAATCAGTTGAGATCAGGAGGCAGAGGTTGCAGTGAGCCGAGATCGCAACACTGCACTCCAGCATGGGCAGCAGAATAAAACTCTGTCTCAGAAAAGAGGGGAAAAAAAAGAAATAACATGTAGGGCCAGGCTCGGTGGCTCATGCCTGTAATCCCAGCACTTTGGGAGGCCAAGGCAGATGGATCATGAGGTCAGGAGTTTGAGACCAGTGTGGCCAACATAGTGAAATTCCATCTCTACTAAAAATTCAAAAATTAGCCGGGCATGGTGGTGTGTGCCTATAGTCCCAGCTACTTGGGAGGCTGAGGCAGTAGAATCGCTTGAACCCAGGAGGCAGAGGTTCTCATGAGCTGAGGTCATGCCACTGCACTCCAGCCCGGGCAACAGAGGGAGACTCCGTCTCAAAAAAAAAAAAAAAAGAAAAAGAAAAAAATAACATGTAAACAAATAAAAAATTTCTGATAGTTATCAATGAGTGAAAGAAATAAAACAAGATAAAGAGATAGAATGACTAAGGGTGGATGTCCAGTATTTTAGTTATGGTGGGCTGAGAAGTCCTGTCTCAGGGGCACATTTAATACATGTGAATGTTGAGAAAGAGCCAGCCAGGCTAAGATCTACAGTGAGTTGGAGAAACTCTTTTTTTTAGAAACTTTTGTTTTTGTTTTTGTTTTTAGATGGAGTCTTGTTCTGTTGCCCAGGCTGGATGCAGTGGCCTGATCTTGGTTCACTGCAAACTCCACCTCTCAGATCCAAGCAATTCTGCCTCAGCCTCCCAAGTATCCGGGATTATAGGACATGCCACCATGCCTGACTAATTTTATATTTTTAGTAGAGACAGTCTTTCGCCATGTTGCTAGGGCTGGTCTCAAACTCCTGACCTCAGGTAGTCCACCCACCTTGGCCTCCCAAAGTGCTGGTATTACAGGCATGAGCCACCACACCCAGCCCGAAACTCAGTTCTTATGGTGATCACAGAGCAGCATTTCCAGTAAGAGAAGGGAAAGCTATGTGTGATCTTGGGAGGAAGTTGGGTTGGATTTAGGTCAAGAGAAGGAAGAAGGAGGGCAAAGACCAGACTAAAAGATAGTGTAAAGTAGGACAGAGGTGAGGCAAATGAAGGGAGTCATGCACAAAACTTGCAGAACCACTCCCTCTCAGGGCTGGTGCCCAAGCGTACGTTCTTCCCAAATATCTTGCCTTATTTACCTCACCTAGTCCTGGCTTTGAGGATTGGCCTCAGGTAGCATGGTCAGAAGATAGCAAAGAGACCCTCACTGCTAAGGAGAAAACTGAGCCTGACATCCAGGAGCTCACCTGGTACTATCAGTAGGCCTCAGTGTTGCCCTGGACTGGCCTGGAACCAACAGCTAGGCTTTGGTGTTCTCTGTGGAGGGAAAAGAATTCACAGAACATCAATATCAGACAGGGCCACACTGTGACTATGATGGATCAAGATAAAGACAAGACCCCTTGGCATTCCTGCCTGAACCTGACAAAACATGAACCTCGCCCAAGCCACAAAATACTATCCATCCTTCCTCCCAGCTAATATGAATGATAGCTGCTTCTTTACTAATTGCAGTTTAGCTTCCCTCTAGTCTGCCCTCCCTATAAATAACATTACGATACTGATCATAGAATTACCCCAGCTTCCTAATGATAGTCAGTGCAGACTCCTGGCTTCTTTGGACTCTACTTCAAATCCTTTCTAGACCCAGCACAGTGGCCCAGCACTGTGGGAGGCCGAGGCGATCAGATTGCTTCAGCCCAGGAGTTTGAAACCATTCTGGGTAACATGGTGAAACCCTATCTCTACAAAAGATACAAAAATTAGCTGGGTATAATCGTATGCACCTTGTAGTCCCAGCATTGAGAGGCTGAGGTGGAAGGATCACTTGAGCCTGGGAGGGCAAGGCTGTAGTGAGCCGTGATCATGCCACTGCATTCCACTCTGGGCAACACAGCAAGACCCTGTCTCAAAAAAATAAAAATTTTTTTTGAACACCCTCTTACTGAGACACCTCAGGGCTCCCCATGGTGTGTGCTTGCCCTGGCTGTGAGTAGTAAACTCAACCTATACAGTGTGCTCCTGATGGCCTCCAGCTGGAGAGCGTTGCATAGGTAAGAATTCATCCTGCCGAAGGGTAGAGATAAATGAGGTTGGGTGGTAAGACTGAGTCAGTTTAGGAGCTTGAGCGAATCATCTAAGAGCTGCACTGAGGCTATGGAAGGAAATGTGTTGTCAGACATTTAGAAGCAAAAATGACCCAGAGGAAAATCACAGCATTGGAAAATGGTTCTGGCAGTGTGCACAGTTAATGTGTGCAGGGGGCAGGTGCCTTGGACTCTTGGTTGCTTTTTTACAGATGAAAAAAACTGAAGTAGCAGCTAAGTGACTGCCAAGATTTGCATATTGACTAAAATAGGCCTTCTGAGACTCTCATTTCTAATGTAGTAGCTCCTAGTCAACCTCCTCTCCCTCTTGTCCTAACTACGTGTTATATCACTAGAAAAATAAAGCCATTTATTGGTTTAAAAAATCATCAAATATGAAAATTCTCATGAGAAATTTAATAAATAAAAAGATTCACTCTCTACTTTTCAATTGAATTTTATCATCCATTGAATCAGCAAAGAATGCAGCATCTTTGCTAACTCTTCAGTGCTCTGTCTTGTTTTCCCAGGAACATGACCTCCTCTGTCCCTCACAATTCCCCAGAGCTCCCACAGAACGCTCCATGACTCAATTCAATGCCTTTTGCATTTCTGCACGTAGCTGCCCATCACAGGCACTGCTGAAACTCTGAGACATGCAGAAGAAGGAGTGACCAAGAAAACCAGCCCTGATGGAAATGCATTCCAATAAGTAGAATATATTCACATTGGACTTTGGGTTGGGATTTCCAAAAGAAGGACTGATTTCAAAGAAAAATAAATGTTCCAGGACTAGGTCGGTCGCAAAGAAAGACTTCTCAGCCTTGGAAAAGACAAGGCATGGGTCCGTGTCTCAGGATCTGAGAGAGAATCGTCTCATTTTCTTTGCCTGTAAGTCTCTGTGCCATCTCTTGCCCTCTGCCCTTATGTTATCTGTGTGTGTATTTTCTTCACTCTTGTAGATTGCCAGCTCTCTGAGTGGAGATCACATTGTTGCCTTTGCATTCTCCACAGTGTTAGTCCAGTGCCTGCAACTAACCAGGTCTTCCCTGCTTCTTAATTGACAGACAGACTTTGTGTAGAAAAAAACACTGAAAAAGCATTTCAAAAATAGTTGACTCTCTCTAATGGGGGTTTTGCTAGCTGGGAAGGTGATGCAGGGTAACTTCTCAGCAGGGTGTAAATTTTGAGTGCTAGGGAAAGAGCAGCATGATTGGAAGAGAGGCATATTTCACTAGGATACATTCTGTTATCTTTGTTTTACATTTAAATGAAACATTTGGGTCTACATGAAATTTGGATGACACATTAAGGGTAATTTCCCCAGCATGATTCGGATTGCTGATTAGAGAGAATCAAGGTCTCCTGGAGTATTCTGTTTGTGTTACTGATTGGTTAAGGGTTGTTTCCCAACTGTGTGGTGAGTTCCATTTTCCCTTGGAAAACTAAAGAGCAGTGCCCTACGGGCACAGCCAAAGTGAACTCTCTTCAAAAAGTCTAAGCCTGGCAGGGCATGGTGGCTCACCCCTGTAATCCCAGCACTTGGGGGGCCAAGGCAGGCAGACGACCTGAGGTCAGGAGTTCAAGATCAGCCTGCCAACATGGTAAAAACCTGTCTCTACTAAAAATACAAAAATTAGCAGGGTGTGATGGCACATGCCTGTAATCCCAGATACTCCAGAGGCTGAAGCAGGAGAATCACTTAAACCTGGGAGGCGGGGATTGCAGTGAGCGAAGATTGCACCATTATACACCAGCCTGGGTGACACAGTGAGACTCAGTCTAAAAAACAAAAGTCTAAGCCTCTGAGCTGAAGTCCTTGAGTTCTTTTTTTTAATTATGTAGGAAGCGAAGAAATGTCACTGTGTAGTGAAGAATTAACCTTCTTCAAAATAAGTCTGGCTTTTGTCCTTGGCTTCTGGAAGGTAATCTCTACTGTCTTTCTTTGTCTGAGGTATGGGGGTCACAGTGGACTTTCAGTGCAATTTAAAGTGGGGACTGATCTCTCCCATGTAGCCATAGGGTTGGAGTTGAAAGACCAACAATATGACTTTGGGTGGAGGCTTTGGGTCACCCAGTATCAGTGGCCTAGAGACTAAAATCAACCATGTGGTCAATCAGTCAATCATTTATGCCCATGAAATGGTGTTCCAACAAAAACTGAGCCCTGAGGCTTAGGTGAGCTCTCTTGGTTGGCAGTACTCTGTGTTTATTGTCACACATGGATGCCACAGGGTATCCTTACTTTATGGGAAGAAGATAACAGAAGCTCTGCATTTGGAACTCTAATAGACTCTGTCCTATGTGTCTCTTTTTGGCTAAGCTTAACCTATACCCTTTCCTTATAATAAACCATAAATGTGACTATAACAGCTTTTGGTGAGTCCCATGTTTCTAGGGAATACCAAATCAGAGGGTGATTTTGGGAATCCTCTATAACTGCAATTGGTGTAAGAAGTGAGGGCAGGTTTGGCGACTATACCTTCTAACTTTATAATTGGCCCTATACTCCTCACATACATCCTCCCAGAAAAACCAGTCCCCAGGCCCTGGGAATAAGGAAAAACGAACTCTTTCAGAGAAGATCAGTACTAGAGACGGGGATCTAATTTGTGGCCTCAAGCTATCCTCCTGCCTTGACCTCTGGAATTACTGGTGTGAGCCACCTTGTCCAATGCCTCATTGTATCTTTAGCAGAGTAGCCAGAGTGATCCTGTCAAAATCTGAGTGATATCATGAACACTCCAATGGCTCTCTTACTCAGGGTAAACGTCAGACTCCTTACGATGTAACGCAAGACCTGTCTTATCTTTCTGACCACACTTCTGAACTCTCCCCTTTATTGACTGTGCTCCAGACATAGGGGATTCCATGCTTTTCCTTGAGCATTCCAAAGATACTTGCTGTACTCAGAGGTTTTGGACATACTGTTCTCTTTTCCTAGAATGCTTTTCCCCAAAAGTAATTATGTGACTTACTGTCTCATCTCCTTTAAATCTTCTTCAAATGTTGTCTCTTCAAATGAGGTTGACTCTTGCCCTTTTCTTCTTTATATAATGAACCCCATATTGAAGTGCCACTGTTCATAATTGCAGCAAGCCACCACCTCTCCACTCCTGTCCCAGCACTGGTGAGGTCTATAACTCTGCACTAATTTTGGAGAGTCTTTTGTTTGTTCGTTTGTTTGTTTGTTTGTTTGTTGTTTTGAGATGGGGTCTCACTCTGCCACCCGGGCTGTGGTGCAGTGGCTCAATCTCAGCTCACTGCAACCTCTGTTTGCTGGGTTCAAGTGATCCTCACACTTCAACCTCCCAAGTAGCTGGGACCACAGGCATGCACCACCACACCAGGCTAATTTTTATATTTTTTTGTAGAGATGGGGTTTTGCCATGTTGCCCACGCTGGTCTTGAACTCCTGGACTCAAGCAATCCACACACTTCAGCCTCCCAAAGTGCTGGAATTAGAGGCATGAGCCACTGTGCCCAGCCACCCTATGCTAGTTTTTGTGCATAACCCTTATTACCTTTTAATATATGATATAGTAATATAGGCATAAATATTATGTTTTTTGTCTCTTTCCTCTAGAAATAAGTTCCACAGAGGCAGGATATTCTGTTTTGTTTTCTGACATGTACCTAGAAAGGTGTCTGCTTATGGTAAACGTTCTCTCTCTCACTATATATTTTCTTTCTATATATTTAAAACATATACATATTTTAAATGTGTAAATATACACATATTTTAAATATATAAATATAGAGAGAGTATGTGTGTGTGTGTATAGAGTATTCACATGCATATGCGCGTGCACACACACACACACACACACACACACTCTCTCTCTCTCCCTTTTTTAAGAGACAAACTCTTTCTCTGTCGCCCAGGCTGGAGTGCAGTGGCATGATCATGCTTTACTGCAGCCTTAATTTCTTGGGCTCAAGCAGCCCTCCCAATTCAGTCTGCTAAATAGCTAGGACTACAGGCATGTACCACAATACTTAACTAATTTTTAAATGTTTTGTAGAGATAGGGTCTTGCTATATTGCCAAGCTGGTCTTCGACTCCTGGCCTCAAGTGATCCTACTGCCTCAGCCTCCCAAAGTAGATGCTTAATATTCATTAAGTAAATGAATGAGATTAATTCAATGAATGAGAAGTATATGGGGAACTACTTTCTAGGCATAGAAAAGATTTTTTTAAATCACAAAGAAGGGAATTATAGATTTTTAAAAAGTGGAACCCAATTGTATTCCTGGATTAAACAATTTTGTTGGTACATAGTAGATGTATATATTAATGGGTTTCATGAGATATTTTGACACAAGCATGCGATGTGTAATAGACACATAAGAGTAAATGGGGTATTCATCACCTCAAGCATGTATCCTTTATGTGGCAAACAATCCAATTATACTCTTTTAGTTATTTTAAAGTGTACAATTAAATTATTTTTGGCTGTAGTCACTCTGTTGTGTTAACAGATACTAGGTCTTATTCATTCTTTCTATGTTTTTGTACCCATTTAACCCTCTTCACTTCCCCCAAATTCTGGATTTTACTACATACAAATTTAAAACTTGGTCATGTGTAATGAAACACAAAGTCTACTATACTGCATATTTTAGAAAGCCCTCAACTCTCATCCAAAATAAGGCCTTTTTAAAAGTTTAAAATGAACAAATATTTGTAACAAAAACTCAAATTTTAAGTCAGTTTTTCCAACTGTGAAAGAAAAGAGTGTTATTATGAGACTTCTGCTGAAGCCTGCCTACATGGTTTTGTATTTTCTGCATAGTATCAGTGTAAATTAAGATTCATTATGGGACTTTTTGCCACTCTTAGTTTGTTATCCATCCTTGCCTTTCAAAATTCCTACTAGCCCCGTAATACAATTTTTGTTTTAAGCACCATTTTAAGCTAGTCAACCTTAAAAATTAAGAAAGAGAATTTGAGCCACCACTGGAATTTAAAATACGTTTTTTAAATGCACATGGAATTGTCTTAATGATATTAAATGGCTTTGCTATAAATAATCTTCTAAGGAACTTATATAAAAAGCTTTTAGGTAATTAAAGCTAATTTTTGACACTTTTTTTAAATCAGAAAGGGTTTTGACTGAAGCTGAGAACAGACTAAAGGCTCTTCCTGACTGGCGCGTCTGTGTGTTCAGTGTGCTGTAGCCCCACTGAGCCAGGCAGCATCACTTTCTAGCCTGCCCCTCACTGTGCAGACGAAGAAACCAAGACTCCTCTTTCATGTTGAGTAGCTAAACCATGATCTTGATTTGACTAAAATGAAAGCTTTTGAGGGCAATTCATTACTTCAACTGAAAATATAGGAATGTTATGAGGAATAAGGTGATAAATTATTCTTCCTAATAAAACTAACATTAAACGATTTTTTTAAATTTCACTTTTTCTTCAACTTCTTTTTGAGAAATACAATTCAAATACAGAAAAATGGGCCAGGTGTAGTGGCTTATGCCTGTAATCCCAGCACTTTGGGAGGCCGTGGCGGGCAGATTACGAGATCAGGAGATCTAGACTATCCAGGCCAACATGATGAAAACCTGTCTCTACTAAAATACAGAAAAATTGTCCCAGCTACTCAAGAGGCTGAGGCAGGGGGATCGCTTGAACCCCGGGCAATGAAGGATGCCATAAGCCAAGATCGTGCCACTGCACTACCGCCTGGGTGACAGAGCAAGACTCCGTCTCAAAAAAAAAAAACAAATGCAGAAAAATGCATAAAACAAATATACAACTTAACAAATTGTTGTGATATGGACACCTGTGAAGTCACCATTAGGTCAAGAAATAAATTATTTTTAACACCCCAGAAGTCCTTCGTTCCTTACTTTTCCTAGACAGCTATCCTAGCTTGGAAAATAATCAACTGTTGTTTTGCTTTGGAGTTTTGTTACCTAAATATGCACTCCTAAAGAAGGTGCTTGTCTTAGTCATGATCCCAGAAAAAAAAATTCAGTCTTTTCAACCAAATTTCTTTTTCTTTTCTTTTTTTTTTTTTTGAGACGGAGTTTTGCTCTTGTTACCCAGGCTGGAGTAGTGCAATGGCGCGATCTTGGCTCACCGCAACCTCCGCCTCCTGGGTTCAGGCAATTCTCCTGCCTCAACCAAATTTCTTGAGTCTTCAAATTGCAGGTGGCAGGTGGTGGTAATTCTCAGCCTCTATAATTGCATGAGCCCATTTCTCATAATCAATGCAAATGTACTATATTCTTATTATATATATTAATATATTAAGGCAATTTATATATACGATAATTTGTTAAAATTTCATCTTGAATAAGTTTTAGTAGTCTGTGAGCTTCAAAGAATTGGTCCTTTTTATTTAAATGGTTGCATATATGTAAACAGAGTGTTCCGGGTATTTCCTTATGATCCTTTTAATGTCTGTGAGGCCTGTAATGATATTTTTTCTTTCTTGCCATTGGTAATGTGTGTCTTCTTTCTCTTTTTCTGAGTATTGGTAGGTATTTATTACTTTATTATTAATTTTATCGATCTTTCCAAAGAGGCATCGCTATGGTTTTTTTTTTTTTTTTTTTTTTTTTTCTGTTTCGGTTTTATTGATTTCTGCTTTTGTCTTCATTATTTCCTTTCTTTCACTTGCTTTGGGTTTATCTTGCTCTTTTTGTGTTTAGTTTCTCAAGTGGAAACTTACATGATTGACTTAAGACCTTTTTTTTTCAGTGACAACCACTGTTAACGTGATGGCTTATTCCATTTACTCAGTTTGTGTACATGCATGTTTGCATGTGTACCTTTTATTTTATAAAACTGAGATCATAAAAATATTCTGGGTTTTGCTTTTTAAATTGTTATTATTGTTATTACTTATTGAGACAGAGTCTCATTCTGTGACAGGTTGGAGTACAGTGGCTTGATCTCAGCTCACTGCAACCTCTGACTCCCTGGTTCAAGTGATTCTCCTACTTCAGCCTCTGAGTAGCTGGGATTACAGGTACATATCACCACACACCAGCTAATTGTTTGTACTTTTAGTACAGACGGAGTTTCATCATGTTGGTCGGGATGGTCTTGATCTCCTGACCTTGCAATCCGCCCACCTTGGCCTCCCAAAGTGCTGGGATTACAGGCGGAAGCCACCGCGCCCGGACTCTTTCTTTTTTTATTTTTATTTTATTTCTGTAAATTTTGGATTCAAGGGGTACATGTACAGGTTTGTTACATGAGTACATCATGCTGAGATTTGGGGTACCAATAGTCCCTTCTTTCAGGTAGTGAGTATAGCACCCAATAGGTAGTTTTTTTTAAGCCCATGACTCCCTCCTTTCCCCTGCTAATAATCCCCAGTGTCTATTGCCCATGTATATCGAAATGTTCAGCTCCTACTTATAACTGAGAATATGCAGTATTTGGTTTTCTGCTCCTACATTAATTCACTTAAGATAATGGCCTCCAGCTGCATCCATGTTGCTGCAAAGGACATGATTTTGTTGTTTTAATTTTATTATTATTATTATTACTATTATTTTGAGATGGAGTCTCACCCTGTCACCCAGGCTGGATCGCAGTGGTGCATTCTTTCATCTGTAAAAGTCTTTATTTCATCTTCGTTTCCAGAGACTATTTTCTCTGTACATAGAAGTCTAGGTTCTTTATTTTTTTTTTTTCCAACACTTACAAAATGTTCTACTACTTCCTTTTGGCTTCCCTGGCTTCTGATAAATAATGCATTATTTAAATTATTGTTTCTCTATAAATCATGTATCATTTTTCTATGTCTGCTTCCAAGCCCTTTTTAAAATTTTCTTTAATATTTAGCAGTTTGATGAACAGTGTCTGAGCATAGATTTCTTTGCATTTATCTTGTTTCAGAGTCGTTAAGCTCCCTTGAATGCTCAGGGAGACTGGTTTGAGAAATAATAAAACTCCAGGCCAGGTGTGGCGGCTCATGACTGTAATCCCAAAACTTTGGGAAACCAAGGCGGGCGGATCATCTGAGGTCAGTGACCAAAATGGAGAAACCTGTCTCTACTAAAAATACAAAAATTAGCTAGGCCCGGTGGCGCATGCCTATAATTCCAGCTACTCGGGAGGCTGTGGCAGGCTGTGCTTTACATATATTTTCTTATTTAGTCTTCACCACACTCCTACCGATTGTTGTCTTTTGTTTTCTCCTCTCACTGAATGAGAAAACAAAAACAGAAATGTTAAGTAACTTGCCCCAGGTCTAGCAACAAGTGAACGACCTGCAGGATTCAAAGCCGGTTCTGCTGGAAGCCAAGCCCCCCTGGTAAATTACTATGATGGTAAAAAAATAAACATCCCATGGAAATGTAAGAAAGATGTTCAGTTTCTCCTAGTACAACTTCTTATTCACACATTTGTTCCTTCCATCTCCATCCTCCCTACTTGATTTACATAAGGGAGTATTTATTCAGGCACAGAACACATTCTTCTGACCTATGAAAGAGAAAAAGAATGTAAAGACAGCTCATGTTTTTTTGGGAGGGTTAGTAGACTTTCTTCCGAAGAACTTTATCAGTAGTTTCAACACATAATGTCATGGTAACCTGGTTTGGTAT